TCCATCCATCCATATCTTTATTGTTTCATCCATCCAGCCATCTATCTATCTAAATATTTATTGTTGCATCCATCCATCCATCTATCATTTTATTGTTCCATCCATTCATCAATCTATAAATGTATTGTCATCTATCCGTCCGCCCATCCATCCATCTTTTTATTGTTCCATCCATTCATCCATCTATAAATGTATTGTCATCTATCCGTCCGCCCATCCATCCATCTTTTTATTGTTCCATCCATTCATCCATCTATAAATGTATTGTCATCTATCCGTCCGCCCATCCATCCATCTTTTTATTGTTCCTTCCATCATTCATCCATCCATCGGTCCATCCGTCCATCTGTTCATGTATTCTTATATTTAGTGTTCAACCCTTACATCCATCCATAAATTTATTGTAATTTCTCTCCATCCCTTCATCTAACTTTACATGTATTGTTCCATCCATCCATTTATCTGTCCATGCATTCATCCATTTTTCAGTTTATTGTTCAATCCATCAATTGTGCTGTTGTTACTGTATATCTATCCATCATTCTAATACTCCACCCATACAATAATTATTTTATCATTCCTTTCATCCCTCCCTCCATTGACCCATTTATCCATTTTATGTAAAATGAATTTAAGGTAGAACTTACTGAAATAGGACCAAAAGTGAAAAAAGGAAAAACACTTTGCATGAACACTTAGCAAATCATTTTGTTTTGAGAAGCAAAGAACTGCATGTAGTTGTAGGGGGAAGAAGCTTTGGAGGCTGAAAAATGAATGAAGGTCAATGGGACGACTCTATTGTGATTTTGTGTGTGAGAGAGGGAGAGAGATAGTGTGAGTGTTTGAGTGTGTGTGAGCACATTAATGAGAGCTGTGTGATCACAGTTTTGTCGTGTTTAATAATTCACTTGTCCTGGGACGGTCTCTTTGTGAACACATGTCCATTAGAGATGTCACACACCTCACTGCTTCTCTGTTTCTCTGAGCTCTGCTGTAATAGTCCAGAGGTCACAGGTTAGCATAGCAAACACATGACCTTTAACACTAATGTGCTCACACACTCTTGAAGCCATTTAGCACTGGTTAGAAATGGGCCCCAACAGGCGTAGGATCTCTTAAACGCACACATAAAGGCCTTCATTTGTCTGGAAAAAGAAATGTTTTTCTTATATTGAGTTTAATGGCTTTTGTCTTTAATTGGCAGGATGATGATGGTGCTCGTGGTTTTGAGAGAGCAATGGGATTTGAGCCTGAACTCGTGAGCACTTCCACTGGGTCACATCTCTGGCCAGTGGAGCTTTATGGTCATGCTTTATTTTTTTTACATCCAGGTCTAGAGTTCTTATGTAAAATTAAAGTATTTTTGATTATTCTTTATTTATTCTAAAGAAATAAATAAAGACACATATACAGTTACGGCCATTTTATTAGGTACACCGTATTAGTACAGGTGTGGTCTCTGTTGCTGTAGCCCATCTGCCTCATCCATTCATCCATCCATCCATCATTTTATTGTTTCTTCAATCCGTTCTTCCATCAATTTGTTTCTTGCATCCATCCATCCATCCATCCATCATTTTATTGTTCCTTCAATCCATTCATCCATCAAATTGTTTCTTCCATCCATCCATTCATCCGTCCGTCCATTCATTCATTATTTTATTGTTTCTTTAATCAGTTCTTCCATCAATTTGTTTCTTGCATCCATCCATCCATCCATCCATCATTTTATTGTTCCTTCAATCCATTCATCCATCAAATTGTTTCTTCCATCCATCCATCCATTCATCCATCCGTCCGTTCATTCATTATTTTATTGTTTCTTTAATCGGTTCTTCCATCAATTTGTTTCTTTCTTCCATCCATGCATCCATCCATCCGTCCATCCGTCCATTCATCCATCATTTTATTGTTCCTTCAATCCATTCATCCATCAAATTGTTTCTTCCATCCATCTATCCGTCCGTCCATTCATTCATTATTTTATTGTTTCTTCAATCCGTTCTTCCATCAATTTGTTTCTTTCTTCCATCCATCCATCCATCCATCCATCCACCCATCCATCATTTTATTGTTCCTTTAATCCATTCATCCATCAAATTGTTTCTTCCATCCATCCATCCATCCATCCGTCCATTCATTCATTCATTATTTTATTGTTTCTTTAATCGGTTCTTCCATCAATTTGTTTCTTTCTTCCATCCATGCATCCATCCATCCATCCGTCCATCCGTCTATTCATCCATCATTTTATTGTTCCTTCAATCGATTCATCCATCAAATTGTTTCTTCCATCCATCCATCCGTCCGTCCATTCATCCAACATTTCATTGTTTCTTCAATCCAGTCATCCATCAATTTGTTTCTTTCTTCCATCAATCCATCCATCCGTCCATTCATCCATAATTTTATTGTTCCTTCAATCCATTCATCCATCAAATTGTTTCTTTCATCCATCCCTCCATCCGTCCATTCATCCATCATTTCATTGTTTCTTCAATTCATTCATCCATCAATTTTGTTTCTTCCATCCATCCAACCAGCCGTCCATCTGTCCATCATTTTATCGTTTCTTCAATCCGTCCATTCATCAATTTGTTTCTTCATCCGTCCAACCATCATTTTGTTCCAATTATCTGTTCATCCATCTTTCCACTACGGCCAATTTAACTTATTCAACTCATCTGTACCGCATGTCTTTGGACTTCTGGGGAAATCGGAGCACCCAGAGGAAAACCCATGCCAACACTTGGAGAACATGCAAACTCCACACAGAAATGCCAACTGACCCAGCTGGGACTCAAATCAACGACCTACTTGTTGTGAGGTGATAGTGCTAACCACTGAGTCACCGTGTCGCCTCGCAAAGAATGTTTAATTTCATAATGGCTTCATACTATAGACATCAACTTTACCCCCTTATTATTTATTAATAAAATGGTTGCATTTTTTTTTGTAAAAGCAATTGAACTGGCTTAGCTAAACGACCAAACTTTGACCTCCAGGTCGCTGTGGTTGAGCTGATGGCGACATCTGACCTGTGACCTCTGACACTCAAGAGTTGAAGAATTTAAACGCACAGCACAGATGATAGATTATGTGTGCGAGAAAGAGAGAGTGAGTTGCATCAGGCCGGTTATTTGTATAAACTCTCTCTCGCACTCTTTTCCTCTCTGGGGCCATGAAATGTTACTGCGACATCTGATACCACTTGATTGGGCCGAGGGCTGTCTGACCCACTGCCTGTCAGCAATTACCTCACGTTAAAAAATCCCCCTTGAGTTGCAAATTCAATCAGGCAGGGCTATCATTGCCAGCCCTGTCTCCAAACTACAGAGCTGTAAACCAGATTACTTGCGCCGACCTCTCTAAAAATCAGATCTCTTACCCGGTTGATCAATATCTGAATATGTCTACAGGCGGGCCGGGAACTCCTGGATGTCTTCTGGGTTTCTCAGATGGGACAATGAAGTCTTTAGATTAGAGTTTTTTGATGAACTGCAAAAAGACAGGAGAATGAGTTTAGTTGATGGTTCAGAACTTCTAAAGCTAGCAAATTATGGGGGAAATTGTTCAGTGGCGTCTAAAGTTACTTTCGCTTCTTTTACAGTTTGAAGGGGTTGTTCACTCAAAAATGAGAATGTACTCATTATTTACTCTCCTTTAGGTGGCTCCAAACATTTGAGTTTATTTTTTCTAGCGAACACAAAAGAAGATATTTTTAAGAATGCTGAAAACCTGTAACCCTTCACTTTCATAGTAGGAAAAACAAAAAATCGAAGTCAATGGTTACAGGTCTAAAAAAACTAAATAAATAAAAATGTGTGAAGTGTGAAGATGTTTTGAAAAATGCTGTTACCATTTACTTCCATTGTAGGAAATATAATTACAATGGAAGTCAATGGTTACAGGTTTTACAATTTTATAGAGCTTATATGATATTGGGTTATAGGATATTAGGATATGAGATATTATGTAAGATATTTTCAAGGATTATGCAAAACCTGTAGCCATAGACTTCCATAATGGAAAAAGCAAATACTATGGAAGTCAATGGTTACTGGTTTGCATGATTTTTCAAAATATCTGCTTTTGTTTTTGACTGAAGAACGAAAATCATAAAGGTATAAAAAGTAAAAAAAAATGTGGGAAGAATGTGTGATGTGTGAAGATATTTTGAAGAATGCTGAAAACCTGTAACCATTTACTTCAACTGTAGGAAATGCAATTGCTATGGAAGTCAATGGTCACAGGTTCTACAAAATTATATAGGTTATAAGATATTTTCAAGAATTGTGCAAAACCTGTAGCCATAGACTTCCATAATAAGAAGAGCGAATACTATAGAACTCCGAGGTTACCGTTTGCTTGATTTTTAAAAATAGCTTATTTTGTGTTCAATAAAAAAAAAAAAAAAGTTTTTGAGTGAATAATGTGTGAAGTGTGAAGATATTTTGAAGAATGCTGAAAACCTGTAACCATTTACTTCAATTTTAGAAAATGCAATTACTATGGAAGTCAATGGTTACCGGTTTGCATGTTTTTTTCAAAACAACTTCTTTTGTTTTTGACAGAAGAACGAAAATCATAAAGGTCTGAAACAAAGTAAAAAAAAAAAAATTGTGAAGAATGTGTGAAGTGTGAATATATTTTGAAGAATGCTGAAAGCCTGTAACCATTTACTTCAACTGTAGAAAATGCAATTGCTATGCAAGTCAGTGGTTACAGGTTTCACAATATTATCTAGGTTATAAGATATTAGGTTGTAGGACATTAGGTTATAAGATATTTTCAAGTATTGTGCAAACCTGTAACCATAGACTTCCATAGTAAGAAAATGAAATACTATGGAAGTCAATGGTTACAGGTTTGCATGATTTTTTTTAAATATCTTAAATATCTCTATCTCTAAAATATCTTGTTTTTGATAGAAGAATGAAAATCGTAAAGGTTGGAAACAAATAAAAATAAAAAATGTGGAAATTGTAAAAATGTTTTGAAGATTGTTGTAACCATTTACTTCCATTGTAGGAAATGCAATCACCATGGAAATCAATGGTTACAGGTTCTACGATATTAAATAGGTTATAAGATATTAGGTTATAGGATATTATATTAGGTTGTATGTTATATAAGTATAAGATATTTTGAAGAATTGTGCAGACCTGTAACCATTGACTTCCATAGTATGAAAATCAAATACTATGGAAGTTAATGGTTACCATTTGCATTATTCTTCAAAAATATTTTATGTTGTGTTCAATGGAAGAAAGTCATAAAGGTTTGCAACAAATAAAGATTAAAAAAATGTTTTTGAGTGAACTATTCCTTTAACTTGTACAAGTACTTTATAGTGCTCATGTAAAATGAATGTTTTTTATCACAGGATATCCTTGGTGTGGTGCATTTGTGGGCAGGGAATGGTCATTTTTGACGTGATGATGGAGGAAGTGGTCATAATGGTGGTCGTAAGATCTCAAATGGAATTGACAAGTTATTTTTTACAGTATGTGTGATTCATGTCTGTTGTGCATTTCCTGGAAAGAAATTGATTGGCAGAGCCAGACACAATCTGCAGGCTTTAATTGTTTAAAAAAACTAAACAAAACAAAAAATAATAATGAAATTAATAAATTAAAAAAAAAAAAAAAAAAAAAAAATATATATATATATATATATATATATATATATATATGTATATATATATATATATATATATATATATATATATATATATATATATATATATATATATATATATATATATATATATATATATATATATATATATATATATATAT